GGGAGGGGTTCTCGTCTAAGTATTTACCAGACGACCCCCGCCGGTGAATTTATGACAAGCGGGTCCTCGAGATGCACGGATGTTTTACAATGCGGCCCCTCCCAAGAGGATTTGAAGGGATATACACGGATTTTGACATTATTTGATTCACCAAATGAAAAAATTCGAAGATGCTTCATGGCTAGAGGCATTCATGTAGAGACATACTTTGTTCTAAATATCGAGTTGTAAGTAAATAGAAGTGTGATGATAATCACTATTTATTATACCAGTGATGAAAGGATGATGGAAACTATCATTCCCCTACAAGTTGGGATGAGACTCCGGACAAAAAAAAAAGAAGAAAAAAGGGACAAAGAGTGAGACTATTGCTTTGAATCACTCATGTCTTAATATTCATGTCATGATTAGATATATGATCAAGATTATGCTAGGTAGCATTACACATATAATTTTTTTATCATTTACCTACTTGAGGATTGGAAGGGTTATACAAGGGTTATACACGGATTTTAACTTTATTCCTTTCAATCCCCTTCACGCATCTCGAACACCGACCCCTAAAACGAACACGTTATCCATCCACGGATGCATCCGGACCGTGATACATGAGTTGGCCATCCAACCGTGTACCTCAAAGTTTGCATACATCTCAGATGGAATGTGAACAAACAAGACAATTTTCATGCAAACCCGATGATTTTCATTTAAATCAGACCACATTCATTACATTTGCGACATATTTCATCCAACAAATCCATCTCGAAGTTAACCTAGTATAAATCTTCGTCGGTGTCTGTCCTCCAAGTCCTTGTTGTTCCCCATGTCTAGCATCTTCGACGCCCGTGAGATCTGGGAAGTGAAGACGTGGGTCGCCGGCGAAGAATAGTAAGACATGGAATACAGAAGCCTTTGTATCCCATGTCCCACTCTTGCTCGCGTGGCGTCTCCCATCTCCCACTCTTGCTCGCGCGGAGTCCATGGCCTGGACGTCGCTAGTGGAGGTGAGGTCCACGATGGACGTGAACGGGCCGACCTCATGGTCGTAGCGGCCCAGCGCGAACTGCAGCTGCCGGCATTCTCGTCCATACCCACCACGGCCTCCTTGCACTAGTGCAAAACCGGGCTATAGCTCCGGTTCATAAGGCCCTTTAGTGTCGGTTCCGTAACCGACACTAAAGGGTGGAGACTAAAGGTCCCCCCTTTAGTACCGGTTCTACATGAACCACCGCTAAAGGGCCACCACGTGGCACGAGCCAAGGCCGGGTGTGGGGAGACCTTTAGTACTGGTTGGTAACACCAACCGGTTACCAACCAGTACTAAATTTTTTGGGGGTTTTTGGTTTTATTATTTATCTTTCCTTTAATTTTGTGTTTTCCATTTAATTCTTTTTTGTTTGCTGGTATTTTATGATACTACATATTGTACACGTTATGCATATATATAAATAGAATTTCTCGTAGAACCGATCACACACACACACACACAAACACACACACACACACACACTGTTAAGAAGGAGATCAATATACATGTGTATTAGTTATGTGACTAGATATCGATAATGATGTAAAAATTGTGAATATTGTTCCGTCAAACGTACCCATAGTTGTCTATCAGTTTTGGTCCTTTCGGACGTCATCATGCGAATGTTCTCGAAAACGTAGTGTGCACACACATCAGTCCCCGGCGTCTGCTTCAGGGCCTTTATGAGAATAGAATTTAATCAGATAATAATTAATCAAACATGATAATTAATGGTATTGAAACTAGAATTAAAGAGATGCATGGTAGCTAGTTAGTACTACTTAATTAATTATACCTTGGGTCGAAACCAATACAGCTTTTCTCTCCATTCGCCTGGAATCTCATTCCTGAACTTTTCCCAAGCCCTGCCCGCCGGCAAAGAAAATGAATAAACGAGTTATTAAATAGTTGATATCAGGAAATGACGAACTAAAGAGGCCGACATATAGTTAATAATGATTAAAATTACCTGTCGGCTATCCCCTTCACGATTGTGTAGTCTTTCTTTTTTTTAAAGTAGTGAGTCAAGTACTTCAACTGTTCCTTCGTCAACTTTAATGATTAACAAGATTCAATGGAAACTGCATGCACACACGTTTGCATGTCTTAATTAAGCGGGCATGTGCATAACACTCATCAACTACCCTAAATCCTATACACTTAATTATTAACATCTAGCTAGCTAGTAAGTAAAAATAGAATTTATAGTACAAGACAGTGTGACTCACAGGAAGTTGTAAGGAAGTAGTATATCTTCATTGGTATTGAGGCGCTTCAAGAACTCTAGCATGTTTTTCTCTACATCTGCTTGATACCATGGATATGTCCATGTTTGTTCATTAACGGTATTTGGATCAATGAACCCAATACCATAGCGTCCACCTTTTTTCATTTCATACATCTTCATCCTGCATAATACCACAGAAAAGAATATAGTGAGGGTAATTACAGGTAATGATCGATCAATGAGCACTACATCTAGCTTGAGACTTAAACTACAGAAAGAAATCACTTACAGATAATAGCAACTGACGAGAGATTTGTCGAGTGTGTCTTGATTGAATAACTGAAATAGTTCTGAATACTCAATGGCCAGAGCTAGCTTATTGAAGTAATACTCTTCCTTGACTTTCACCATGAGGCCCTCTCGATTGGTACTCTTGGTAATTTTCATGTACCAATCATGCAATTCATACATTCTCGTTGGGAGGTTCTTGACCTCCTCAGGCTTGACCAAAGGTTGGCCGCGGACATATTTCCGTTTTATGTTTTGCTCTCTAAGCTTAGGCATGGGCTCAATCTCGAGGAGTTGTCCAATAGTGATACCGAGCATTTCAGTCTGCCTTCTATGCTCGTCGGTTATTACCAGCTGACCGGCGCCGGTACTCTCATGTGTTGGTACAACAAGTAGGGGGATTGATTGCGCCGCCTGTTCTCCTAGCTGGGGAACAGTTTTCCCGCATTATTGGCCAGCTGCTTGGCTCGAGCTCGAGCTCGACCCCTTTTGCCGTGCTCGATGTGCCTTCCTGATTTGGCGCTCATAGTCTGAGTCAACAGGCTTGGGAGCTGGTGGTTTAGCCATACAAATAAAGTGGTCAATCTTATCCTCGGGCACTTTCTCCCTTGGCGGCGGTGGCGGTTTCGTTCCAAAATGGGCGTCCACTTGGGCCTTCACTATGGCTTTGTTTTGCTCCTTGGTCATGTCGTAAGGCCTCTACGGAAGAGGCGCAAGGCTTGGACCATATTCAAATCGCTTGTCTCCGCCTGTACCTCCTGTACTACCTCGACTTGTAGCACTACACACCATAGCTGCAGTGGCTCTCTTCCGCGATTGCTGAGGCAGCGGAGATGGCTGACGCGGTGTCGGACTTGGAGGAGGAGTGGCACGCGTTGGTGGACTTGGAGGAGGAGGAGTGGCCTCACACATTGGCTGAGTTGAAGCAGGAGGAGTGGCCTCACGCGTTGGCTGAGTTGAAGCAGGAGAAGTGGCCTCACACGTTGGCTGAGTTGAAGCAGGAGGAGTGGCCTGAAGCTGTGCCGGACTTAGAGGAACGTGAGTCGTCTGCTCCTCGTCACCTCCTAGAATGTCAAGCTCTAGCTGACGCGGTGTCGGTGGCCTTCGAAAGATGATGCAATCCTTTCTCCATAGGATGATACCAGTGTGTGCTCCTATGTATGGCCTCTCCCAGTGTGTGCTCCTCGTCACCTCCAGGAATGTCAAGCTGTAACCCCGAATATTGGTCCACCAACTCATCAACCACGACGCGAGCATAGCCGGCTGGAATCGTTCTACAATGGTAGGTTGCTCCGGGGGGATTTGTATAAGCAACGACGTCCGCCACCTACACGGATATGTTCTTTATTTTGAAGTGTAGCTCACAGTTAGTGTTCTCCATGATGTCATCCACAGGGTATCTATCCAGCAGTGCGTCACCCGGGGCGGAACTCACGCTGCTTCTCGACATGGATGGGACGGTGCTATCCAATGCTGGATCATCCGCTAGCTGCGGCCGCTGCTGAGACCCCATTTCCAGGCTAAGCGAGTCGATCTACTGCTGCTGCCACTGGAATTTGAGTGTCAAGTCTGCGTGCGCTGATTCTAGGCCT